TTACATTTGCACTTGCATTTGCCATTGAATCTGCAATGCATTCAGTTGCATTGCATTGCATGGCATGGCATGGCATGGCATGGCATGGCATGGCATGGCATGGCATGGCATGGCATGGCAGACAGAGACAGACGGAAACCTGAAGACCTCGGCAGAGACCGAGGAGACATTGCTGTCGACCAGGGCTTCTTCAGCTCCGACTCGGGCAGCCCTGACAAGCCAGCGTTGCCGGTCTAAGGCTATACCGGGTTCATGCAGTTCTGTGGTTTCAGGATTCAGCAATTTATCAGACTATGCAAGATACCTGGTTCGGGGAATCAGGTTTTGAGGGTGGTTTGAGTCAGTTGGCAGCTCATTGTGCTCTGTCGAGTCTAGGCTGGGCCCTCCATCCACCCCGGACCACGTTCCAGACAAGGGGTTACGCTTTCCCTAAACTCCGAGCAGGCCCAAATGCGAAGTCCGCCACGCTTTCACCCCAAACGCGGAATTTCTGCCAAATGCCGAGGTACAGTGGCAGCAGCGAGGTGCTAGTGGTCGGTGACGCGGAGCCTGGAGAACTGTGTCTGGGACGCAGGAAGTAGCGTTCTAGACGATTCCGAATCTATCGGAATAGTAAGACATGTGGCACTGCGGTAGCAATAGTATCATTTGCTGTTAGTCTTCCTCGCCTTCTTCTTACCGCTACTGCGGCCGGGACTGCTACTGCCGCTAGAACTTGCACTGTACTACTGCTGCTGGCGCTACTGATGATATGATAGCAATGCTGTTCTGGTCAGCATTCTCTTTGCTGTTCATGTGGCAATGATAAGAGCTTACATGACCGTACCGACAGCAAGACAGTGACAACACATGTGACCCCACAGACCCGGTGCAACGCGGCAAATGCCAGCATTCACATGCCGGGAGAGAAAGAGAGAGAGAGGGTATCGTGAGTCTCCTCTTCACGCGATGCAGACTCTGCTGAGTTGACATTGGCAAGTGTAGCAGGGAAAGACTCAGAGCCGACTTCACCGCCAAGGATGAACAATCCTCGCCGAAGGATATCACGGTTGTTTGCCATTCTTGTCTGTTCTCCTGTGGTTACTTTGGCTTTTAGGTCCTGAGCCCACGCCTGCAAAGCCGCTGCCGAGGTGGATCTTCAACGTTCTGACTGGTAGGCGCCTGTGATGTATTCAGCTGGCGTTTTGCGGCACCCGGGGTTGAGGCCGGTTTTTAAGGAGAACATGTCTTTCGAGATCATACTTCGAGTATATGCATCCACCGAAATGCTTTGTGCCTGTATTGCATATGGTTTGCTGCAGAGAGGGCCTCGTGACCGGCCAGGCGGATGTTTTAACACCAGGAAATGTGGAAATACTTGCCGTTGATTGCGGTTGTCGTCTTGGCCGTCGTCGGTTGTCGGAGCAGTAGCAGTAGTAGTATTAGTACTTGTAGTAATAGTAGTTGTCGTCGTCGTAGTAAGTAGTAGTAGCAGCAGCAGCAGCAGCAGCAGCCATGAGCAAGAGCAGTAGCATGAGCAATAGCAGTAGCAGTAGCAGTAGCAGTAGCAGCGCAGTAGCAGTAGAAGTAGCAGTAGCAGTCGCGGTAACAGTAGGAGTAGGAGTAGGAGTAGGAGTAGAAGCAGTAGTAGCAGTCGTAGCAGTAGCAGTAGCTGCAGCAGCAGCAGCAGCAGCGATAGTGGTAGCGCAGCGGTGGCGGTAGCGGCAGCGGCAGCGGTAGCGGTAGCGGTAGCGGTGTTGGTACTGGTAGTTCTATTTTGCCAAATGTGTGCCAAATACCACCTCGTATACACTCTGGTGACGGGTTAGTCCAGCACAGGAACAATGCCAGTGCCATTTGGGCAGCCCAGCGTGCCTGAAACTTGAGAGGAAGGACTTCTGATCTTTCAGTCGGGATCTTTTTGTCAGAACTTCGGCCAGGTTTATCGTCTGAAGGTTTCAGGTTTGCATGTGGCTATCTTGAGCTGCCCATTGTTGCTGGTGCTGACGGAGTGATTGGCCGCCAGCTCTTATGCGTTTGAATGTGGTATACTTGCATACACTATACATATGACAATGCTCGCTCAGAGGATAACGTTGAAGGTCACACTCAGCGGGCGTGTTTCCGTGCAGGTGGGCCACAAGAAACACTGACATCACAAAGCAACCAAGGTGTGCCCAGCAACCATGTCGTGGCCGTTGGGAATTCGTTCACCATCCGGAGTCTGGCATCCCAGCTGTGTTTGGTCTTACTGTCTTGCTGCTGCAACAACATGGCATATGCTTTTATATGTCTTGTGTGTGTGCATATACAAATAGATGTACACGTTTACGCATGCTGGCAGGTGTTATTACGCATGTATATTTACGTGTGCGTCTTGCACATATATATATATATAGTCCAGTACAGGGTATATATACATATATATATATATATATCTGTACGTGTAGTAGACTATACATCTGTTTTTGTATGCATGTGTTGATATTTACAGCTCTCATGAAATTACGTCTATGTTTTTTCGCACTTTTGAGTGTCATATGAAAGTGTACCATCGCAAAACTCGTGCAATGAAAGTGTGCAAAAGGTGCAAACAGCACCTTTTTACACACTCAGTGCAACACTTTGGCTTGAGCGAGTTCTGCTCATACTGTAGTATGTCATAGTCAGTATCGTTCACCACCAAGAATGCACTCGCACACAAAGAGCACCAACGAGAACGAATGAAGCATAATTCTTGCTGCCCCTTGCCTTTCTGTCCTCGCGGTCTTGAGCCTGTCATCGCCTGGCTCTGCGTCTTCACTAGCGGCACTAGCGCTTTGACGCGATGCCTGCGGTTCATAAGGTAAGGTGCCAGGCTACGGGGTGACATTTTTGCTGTGCGTTTTCGGATTAAGACACAGATGCAGAGGCAAGTATGCGCAGGTGTTAGTAGCACGTCGATGTATTGACGGAGCGAGGTGTGCGGCATGACCTGTTCTGAAACATGGCATGACATGATGCAGGAGGTCATGCCGGATAGACGACACAGGGTTAATGGCAAGTCATTATCATGCATGCGTGCACAGAGCTGTATCCAGCAATTTGCCGTAGCACATGCATTGCAACTATCAGCAACCATCATCATCATCATCACCACTGTCATCATCATCATGATGGCCATCATCGCAAAAAGTTAGATGTGGCAGCAGCAGCCGCAGCAGCAGCAGCAGCAGCAGCAGCAATCAGACTACTAGCCAGACCACTGCAGCTATCGGAAACAACGACGTCTTCGCAACAATAGCAGGAACAGTATCAAGCATGGCAGCCTTCTCTGATTCGCCTCTGGACGGGAGCCGCAGCAACTGTCTCTATGACAGCATCGCATAGCATCATAAACCAGATGATCACGGCAAGTCTTCCTAACATAGAATTGCGGCATTTCTCACGAGCTAGTCTACAAAAGGATGCGAAAGAGCCGTTGTTCCCTGCACTCAGAACCTGTCGGATCCCGAGAACAATCTCTTCAGCCCAGGTGGGGGACGCTCTTTCCGGGTTCAGGTTGTGCATAGTTTTTAGGGCTTTAGGGTTTGGTGGGATTCTGGTGGGCTTTCGGGCCTTAACGGAGGATTAGACGAGTTGCCTTTCAGGGCATGTATGAACGAGACTTGTGCAGGTCTGTTTTCGGAGAGCCGCTTGTAGGATTGAGGAATTCTGAAATCCGTGCAAACCCCAGTTGTATGGAATTGTAGGCTCAAGGCTTCGGGAAATGGACCGGCTACGAGTTCGACATGGGCGCTTGCTGGAGTCGAGGTCACCAGACCTGAGATAAACTTCGCAACACTGGCATAAAACTGAAACTGCGCGAAAATATATATAGGACCGTAGGGGATATGATGAGAATACTGTAAGTTACAACTGGTCCTAATTGCCCCACGCAAACAGTGCACTGCAACAGACCTGGGTTTGTGGGAGCTTGCAGCAGTTTGAGTTATCAGGGTGGAAGCGGCTTTTAGCGATCCGGCAACCCTGCCGGCCATGACAGCAGCCCAAAGCGAGAACAGCTGTAAAGGCGAAGTGCTGGGAAAGTCTTCGTCGTTTAGGCTTCGGGGGTTTAGGCATAGGGTGAAAACGGAGCTGCGGAGGCGTCACCGACTTAGCTGTGGAGAAGGGTTGGTGGCATCCCTCCGAAGCGAAGTTCCCAGGCCAGAGACCGAGAGCGAGAGTTAGACAGACGACGGTTCCTTAAATACGACTGACTCTTGACCGCTAAGCCACTTAAACCATCGAACTGGGCTTGCTTGTAATGGTTTGGGATCTTGGGCCAGCGGGTCTGGGGGCTTCATGAGCTTCATCCATGGTGGCAAAGGCCGTACCTGCATTCGCTAAGCCTGAAGTGAGCCGTGAGCAGGGTTCTGTCCAGATTGGAAGGTGTCTTCGACTTCTTCGGTGCATACGGCTATCAGCCGACCGTCGCTTGTCTCTGGCTAAACCACTGAAGCAGCATTCCTGTCTGTTCAAGCCAGAGCTGCTGCGAGCTGGCTCTTGATGTGGTCTCCATATTGCCATAATTGCTGACCCAGTGGCACAGAACCACGAAGGCAGAGAACACGGCTATTGAGGACATCGCCAGCATCAGGAGCCCACGGGATTTCCGGCCTGTGGGGCAGATGCATGAGAGCTCGTCAGGTAATGGTGCAGCAATACGAAGATGACTGTTCAGAACCTTGGCTTGCCGGGCGACGTACAGTAGCGGCTAGCCTGTGCTTTCCGGAAGAGACCGGGGAGTGATGCACTTCAGCCACCTTGCGTTTGTTTCAGAAGCAGTTTGCTCGAGGCGTAGCACATACTTGCACCACCGACTCAGATGAAGCATGCAGTTTCCTTTTCGACTTTGGGATTCCCGGCTTGAACCCCGAGCCCGATACATGCAGCCTCATCCTCCAAGCCTTCGCTCCCATTGATGGACCCTTCCCTCCTGGACCAGCCTCCCCCAGAAGTCCGATTCAGAGCCGGATTGATTCATCGTGCCGAACTTGGCTGTCCAAGGCCCCGAAAGCAAAGACTGCAAACTTACAGCCATCAGCCAGGAACCTCATGGCCTACTACAGTGGCCGGCGCATGTGGCGCATCTTTTCCCTTCTCAGCCCAAGTGAAGGCCAGGACAGATAGGACTGACACTAGGTAATCAGTGCATCATCCAAAAGAAGCGGTTATGGTCAACATCACATCAACAGGATCATCACAATCACCACCATCACCGCCATCTCGTCATCGTCATCGTCGCCACCATCATCATCATCATCATCATCATCACCATAATCATCACAATCGCCATCACCATCACCTCCATCGGCCTCGTCTTCGTCCTCCGCGACAGGACTAGCGTTGATCATAGTGTTTGCAGATGAGCTGAGTCCTCGATGTCAATATCACCCACCCACACACACACACATCTTTGCACGCAGGCACCGAGTATTTGTTGGCGAGCTTTCGGCACAAAGGTCTGACGAAGCCGCAGGACAGCTGACAGAGTCAAGAATCCCAAGCTACCAGTGGTACACTTAGCCTCAGAGTTTCAGAGAGGCGCTCCTGCTGCCAGGTGAGAAGCTGGATCCGAACTTGGGAAATCTGCCCAAGACCAAGCCCCGCAACCGCGATTGTTACGGGGTTTGTTCGTTTGAGATGAATCCGCAGCTGAGATGCTCGAAAGGCTGAGGTGCTGATGGCTGATGTCATATCCTACGTGTAAGGGATTCAGGCTTCAAGTGCACCGTTACAGAAAGTTTGGATAAACCGCCGCCCAACCCCCAAGACTAACACCACTAATACTACGACGGCGACTACTACTCCTTACTACTCCCCCTACTGCCACTGTCACTGCCGCTGCACCACTACCACGAAGATGCAGTTCCATAAGGGTTACTACATGTAGGGTGCTACAGGGTTTGAAGGGTTCCTTTAAAAGGGTTCTGTAACTGTTACTCAGGGGTTTTGGGGGTTTCAGGCTCAATCCCAAGAAGGTTCCACTCCACATGCCTAAGCTGTATCGCCGCTCAAGCCTGCTGCCTATTCAGCAGACGACTACTGGGCAGATCCCTCCTCCCCTAAACCCCACCCATTGTTACATTATCTGCAGTGAACTTTCACCGAATGGCCCTTTATTTGCAGTACAGCTTGCCCAGGAATCCATACCCGCCCTCGGTGCCAGCACCGCGTGGCTCTGTGACTCGATCGATGGTCGCTGGATGGCACAGCTCAGAGAATGAAGGGGGCGAATTTTGTAAAGGGTTCTACTTTCGGTTCTTAGATGTTTAAGGGGCTTGATAAATTGAGAAGCGGGTGTTCATGATTAGGAGCAGTGTTCCTTCAGTTTTCCTTCAATGAACCCAGGACCCTATTTTGGTGGTATTAAGGCCCCGATAGCATTATCCCTTAGAAGGCAGAAGTAAGGCATCGAATTCAGGCTATCAGTGGGGTCCAAATCCATCGAAGGTCACCTGCCACAAAACAGCATTGTGTAACTGTATGCGTCGTTTCAAGATGCACTGTGCCGCCGCCTAGGGCCTAGGGGCGCAAAAGCCCGAATCCCCAAGCGCCGGGAGGGTCGACGTTTGAAGCCAGTCGGGTAGAGACATGCCATGGGAGACTGCGGTTCCCATTGTTGCTTTCTGCCTTCGGGTTCAGTCGATCGCGAGCAAGGTATATTATGACACGAGAACCGGTTCATCTGTTTTCTTGCCAGCGCATTGAGCGATGGACTCTTGAAGCCAATTCTCACAGCAAGCCTGGTCGCTCTTGTAAACGTGATGATTCTGTACACGACGCACTGTAGAATCTGTGCATACAACATTGGTGTTCCTGTGTCTAGAGATATCGTTGGTGTGTTGCAATGTCACTGGCATGTGCAGTGCTACTTTGATGCTAGTAACTAGTCGTAATGGTAGTGAACAGCAACAAGATCCTCCCACGCAAGAATGTCTTTATACATCACAGTGCATCAGCATCATTAGAGTAGATCATCAATCTTAAGAAACTAGGTAATCTACGCGGATGGAAAGAACCTTGTAACAGCATGTAGCAATGTAGCACTTCTATACTGGTCTTTATACACAAAGAGAGCAATATGCATACAACATTATGTGGTTGTGTCATCACAGCTCAAAATGGCACTGACAGTATGTAAGTACATATTCCAGCCATCACTGGAAACCACATTGAGAATATTCACAAATGTGACCGCTCATGCATGAGTGTAGTTCTGCAGCCGCACGGGAAAGCAACATCAGATTCATCCATAGGCTGCAGGCATATGGGAACAGGTTCAAAAACTTCAGTATTGCGTAGCCACGTCCATCAAGAGATAGTGTAAGGCACTGTTTTGCGACAGAAAACAAACGCACACAACTCCACGGACAGATAACACACCTATCTGCCCGGCCTGCAACGATGCCTGAAGTTGCGACGGCAAACGTGCCACTAAATGTCTCGCTTCTGCACTTCGCGTCTGTGTGTCTCGCTGGCTCTCCCTAGTATCAGTTTTGGGGGAGAAGGTCATGAACGCCCTGCGCGACCACTACGAGGGCACGCCTTACGACCTGACGAAGGCACATTGCTGCCTGCACGCGACCCCTTGTTTGAGATAAGATTTTGAGGTAGGACCAGAGATAATTCCATTCGGTCTACTCGCCTAGATCGACGCCTCAAATTTATCGACAAGGTTGTTGATCATGATAGCTATGGTGATGATGATGACGACGACGATGATGATGATGCTGGTGGTGGCGGGGATGATGGAGGGAAAGATCGGTGCTTTTGTCGACGAGCAGAAGGAGAGTGAAACATGATGAAATGAGATGAAGGCGTATGCTGGTGCTAGACTTGACGATGTGATTGTGATGAGGTGGGGTGGCTTTGCGGGGCATTGGTGTCTTCATGAGTCAAGTTAGTAAGCTTCTGATGGGATTTGGAGAAGATCTCCTGCAGTTTGCTTGTCATAATCATTGCCATTACCATGCCTATTTCCGTATCACAAGAAGCATCACTCGATCAGGAGATGATGGGAGGAGGACGATGATGGAGAGGAGGACGACGATGATTGTGGTGATGATCAAGGTGAAAACGGCATACCGAAGAGAGCGATGACGATGGCGACCATGACCTTGACGATGATGGTGATGGCGATGGCGATGGTGATGGTGATGGTGATGGTGATGATGGCGATGATGCCGCTCATAGTACCGCTATCATCATGTCGTTGTTGCTACTTGTTTGTTATCAGTATTTTGCTTCTAATGGCACAGCGACTTGCTTCTCGACACCAAATTTCTCCTTGTTGCAGGGCATGGCTGCCGGGCCGCATGGGACGCCCAACCGGGGGCCCATCACGGGCATCAAGGGCACCTTGGAAATCCATTGTGCGAAAAGCGGAGAGTTTTGGGTTGGCCGCTCTGCATGGGAGACAGGCATGCAGAGGGGAGGTCAACGTAACTAAGCTCCCTGAAGGACGAAAAGGGAGCCGCAAGAGGCCACCTTATTCTCCCAGCCCTCGGTTGCATTCAGGGCAGTGGGAGCGAGCCATCTCGATGTTCCGCACGGCATATTCGTATGTGACGCTTGGCTACAGCCGCATCAGGCATGTTTATGAGATTATCGGCTTGAGTTTACGTCTTGGTTGGAGTTTAGGATTCGAGATTTGGGAAGTGGTTGTCACTGTTTGTCAGTCTTGAAGCAATTCAGCAGAAGCGATATGTTGCCGCTCGCAAGCGCAGTCCTCTCTTAAGAGGCTTACGTTGCTCGTTCGCCGAGGTTGGAGATTCGGCCAAACCGGCGGAGCATCACATGGCCGCTAGGAACGGAAGTTACTACCACCACTGCTGTAAACATCCCTTCAGCGCACACAAGGAAGTCTGTCATTGGGGAAGGTTTGTGTGCGAGTTTAGGGTGAAGGGCTGGTGTCTTGGTGAGTCGGGTCTTCGAGCAATGTCATTCCTGGTTCTGCTGCTGCTGCATTAGGTTTGGCTATGACGCTGCGCACGGCACGGCGTGGATGCCGTTCTATGGCTCCTCACCCATCCCAGCGCCCGGTTGCCCAGTGTGTCGCTTTGAGCTGAGCCATTGAGATCAACTTGACCTAAGTTCAGGGCCGGAAGCATCTTTACTTTCCGTGGTGGCAGTTGGAAAAGCTGTCTTGCCGTGAATCCTGAAATGGCTCTTGCCAAGTAGCAAATGAAGTTCCTGTCCTTAGGGTGTCACAGTGGCAGGCCGAGAAGGGTCGTAACACCTTTTCGTCTGCCCGTGACCATGCATGAAGGCCGCAGATGTACACTGCGCACGGCCTGAACATGTCCACTTTCAACACGGACGCAGGCCGGCAAGTGTTTTGTAGTGCTGTGATGGCCGACCTGGATGGGAAGAATGGGTTTGTTCAGCTAGGAGTTAGTGAGAAGAGCTTGAATGTCGCCTTATTGCAGCTTGGTGGGCATTCAACCTCGTCAACCAGTACTCCGACATCAACTTCCAGCTGCCTGTCAGGTGAGTTCTGCCCAGGATGCAAGAAGTCGAAACAGCTTTAAGCCGAGGCCAGCCCTGCTGCTGTTCTCAACAAAGAGGATAACCATGAGCCACGAAATCTACATCTTCAAAGTCTCGTAGGGCATGAGCCGAACAAAAGAATTCATAATCACACTAGTTAAATTGTGCAAGTGGCGGTTTGATTTTCGCCGTGCGGAGCAGCACGAGCAGCCAAGGCTCATCAACGGCGAGGCCCGCGCGAAGGCCGGCGAGATCGAGCTGGAGGCGGCGAAGCTGGTGAAGGCCCTCCTTGCTCCGTGGAGGGTTTGTGCCTTTTTCTGGGTGAAAGATTTGTCCGTGCCAGGTTGGGTCTAAGTCTAGGTGTTCGGGCTCAGGGCTTCTAGGCCTTTTGGGGCGGAGGCCTTTCTAAATGAATGACAACTTGTGGCTTTCACTTTTATGGCCACAAATTCTTCTGCCACGTCCGCAGGCCCCGCCCTTGCAAGAAGCAGCAGTTTCCAGGTTTGGGAGGCATCCATCGACAGCTCCGGCGAGGACGTGCAATTCGGAAGCCTTCGCGGGCCTAAGACTATCAGGTAGGCTTATTTGCTTTGCAAGGGGGTTGTGGGCTCACTTAACGCATACTCAAGTTTTGTGGCAGCTGCCGTGTTTGCATTTGCCGATGAGGAGGATGATCTTGCTATACTGGCGGCCAAGACCAATGCATACGCAGAGGTGAAGGTCCAGGACCCTGGCTACCGGAAACAGCAGATTCGAAGCCGAGACTTGCAAAAGTACACCATCGATGGCAATCCTGACTGAGCACTATCGTCCCCCAACTACTTTTGTAATTGTGTGCTTTTGCATTGCTTGGGTCTTGCTGCTTGTCTCTCATACTGCGGACTCGCTTTAGGCCTTCAACCCCGACGTTTCCAAAAACTGCCAGGGTGCAGTACTGACTGAACGTCCTGCAGTGAAATCCTTGATTTCCTGGATCTGGCAACACACACATGCTGTACGGTTCTCTGGTCGTGCGTGGCACAGCCAAACTTGCACCACTTGCACTACTTGCGCCAAGTTTTCACCACATCGGTATTTGTTGTGTCGGCAGACTCGTAGGCCTGGGAGAAGCTTGAGCCGAAGAGTCTTGTGAGAACTACAGCATCGCACAACAAAGCGAGTACCACAGCTGAGGAAACGGGCGTGACAGCAGCTCTCCCGTAGTGCACATCACATGATGTTCATGGGATGTCGGAAGCGCAGAGAGGAACACTTGCATGGGCCGTTCGCCGGTGTCGTAAGCAACCCTGGGCCTCAAATCCAGGCGTGCCGAATCCAAACACCTCTTGAGGAGTGGTGGAAATTCGCCTGGTACCTCATCGCCAAGTATGGCCGGCAGGTTGTCACATACAACGACACCTGTCTTGAATGAGGCCGTCCGACCATCCGGGAAGTAGAGGAGGAGGAGGAGGAGGAGTGGTGGTGGGAGCAGGAGACGTAAGAAGTAGAGAAGCAGTGAAGTGCAACACTATTAGTCGTCGTCACCGTAAGTTGGCGTAGGAGCAGGATAGGAGTAGGAGTAGTAAACATAGTGGGAGCAGCAAGAGTAATAGCGGTGGTAGTAGTAGTAGTAGTAGTAGTTGTTGTTGTTGCGTTAGTAGGAGTATGGTAGGATCAGTAGGAAGAGTAGGAGCAATAGGAGTATGTAGGAGTATGTAGGGGTAGTAGGAGGGAGCGAGTAGTAGTAGGAAGGAGTAGCAGTAGCAGTAGCAGTAGTGGTAGTAGCAGCAGCAATAGCAGTAGTAGAGGTAGTAGAGGCAGCTGAGGTAGTAGACGCTAGGCGTAATAGACGTAATAGAGGTATAGTAGAAGTGGTTTTGATACTAGGTACTTGAGGTAGTGTCGCGGTAGTCGTAGTGGTAGTAAGTAGTCGTAGCAGCGAAGCAGGAGGAGAGTTTGTGAGTGTCGCAGTAGCAGCAACGGTAGCATGCAGTGCGGATCAGCATTCCTGCTAAGGAGTCCAGCGTCGGAGGTGTCAACTACACCGGGTACCCAGCAACAGTTCTGCCGGGTTGTGGGGCTTTAGGCTGGGGTTGCTTTTTCATATTTCAGGAACTTCGTTGCCAAGATCTTGATGTGATCTTGAGATGATGTAGCATCAATGTAGCAGAATGTAGAGGTTGAGAGACGATACCAGCAAATTTGTGAAGCTTTTCGGCTGATTCAAGCTGGTTTGTCCTTGTTCGGTTTACAGTCGCCGTGATCAGTTTGCTAAATCATAAAAGTTGAACCTGTAACAACAATCATGCTGCCTCTAGCCGGACCACGGCAACTGAAGCTTCTTGATCATGCAGCCATCAGGGTTTAGAGTCTTGTCCAACCGGTCGGACCCAGGCAGATCTATCCGCAGTGGTGGCTGCAAAGTCCGGATGTGGGGTTCACGACGCTCGCCGGCGTTTGTGCCCTGAATGCCGTGGAAGTATACAAAATGAGAGCTTCTACCACTGTGCTTGCTGCGACTGCGACTGTCCCACTTTCTTCCTGCGAGCAGCACCACCGATGTTCATGGCTTAACTCAATGCGACAATGAGTCTGAGAGCTGCGATCATACGCTGAGAACAGTCAAAGGAAAAACGCTTGCCCGAATGCCTGCCTTTTCAGCATTGGCTGAAACCTCTGATGGAGATATCTTTGTTCAGCTGTGTGGTCGTTGCTGCGGGTCCGATGTGCTTTGGCAAGATCCTCACACCGCACACCTTTTTCACTTCGATTAAGATTAAGCTCTCAGCCCGTGGTAGTGAGCCACAGCTTGCAGTTCGTTCTGGGAACGCCACTTTGTTCTGTGGAAACATGGACATTGCATTTCCACCAGAACCCCATCTCCCGGAAGTAAAATGATTTACCCCACGAAGTTGCTACATGGATGCCCGAACTTCGGCCTGAGCCGAATTGAAATAGTTGGTTTGTTTTGCATCTTACTGCCTGGCTTATCCGTATGTTCACCGGGGTTGGCAGCAGTTGTCATCCTCTCCTTCGTGCGATCATGTCCTGGTACTTGTCGGTACTTCTGGCCGCTTGTGACTAGCTGTTCGTGCCTTGAGAGCTTCTTGTCATGTCCCTGAAGAGCGGTACCCCTGAGGCCCTTTACCCTGAACACACCTACGCTCGAATTGTGAATCCCCCCTCTCAGCAAGGGAAAGAATATTCACAATAATGTTTTCGAACGAGCAACAGTAACACCAAAGCGAGTAGCAACAATTGGTGATATAAACTTTATTATGATGCGCACCATCCGTCATCATCAGAATGTCTGCTCACAGGACCTGGTCTCCGAAGGGCCCTTGGATTGGCGTTCCGGACATCGGGCCGTCCGGCGTGTAAGACCTAGGACCTAAGGATACAGGTTTCTGGGAAGTGACCAACACGCGGGAAACCCCTGTAGAAGAGAGATGGGACTTTCCGAAAATTAGGGTACCTTATTTTGGGGTCCTGAGAATAAGGATCCTGCTATTTAGGGTACTATATTAGGGTCCCCTACTTTCGGAAACCCCTATATCAAGGGACACGGCTTCCTGCGACAGTGGTCAGCTCCTACTGTGAACATCCCCGGTTTCCAGGAAGCCACGTGCTGCCTGTCGAAGGGTAGTAGTATAGGGGCCTTAACAATTACCTATATTATTTTGGTGGTTTCTTATCATATTTATAGTAGAATATACCCAAAAACCCTATTTTACGTATTAAGGCCCCTACATTGGCTAGGTAGTCCAAGCAGGCACGTGGCTGCCTGCAGAGCTGAATGGGAATGAACGCGAGATGCAATCATTCAACGGCTAGCAGGAAGAAGAACAGGCTTACGGCATGAGTGTGTCAGAGCCTCTTGCGCGTCGGACAGATTATACCATTCCATGTGTCCAATGTTTGGGGCGCGAATGCCGGTCACGTGTAGAGCTGTTGAAGCGAACAGATGCGGCTATCGGTGTTGATACTTTTTTCCGACATGGAACGGATCTCCACGTGAGCACGAAGCATGCCAGAATGCTATCACAGTCACGCGGCACATTTTGTTCAGCACGGGATCTCGCACTGAATGGCTGGCTTGCAGCCCCCACCGTTGTGTGCCTTTTCGAAGTAGCTGTAGTAGCAGGAGTAGTAGTAGTAGTAGTAGTAGTAGTAGTCAAGGCTGCTGCCTCAGTACATCTCTTTTTGTCTTTGCATCCTTAGGTGCGCTGCGCCAACACAGCTATCTCTGCAGAGCAACCACACTTGGGCCGCGCCTTGTCTGGAGCTTGTCGAAACGGCCTAACCCCTAAACCCCAAAGCCCCTAAACCCCAAAACCCATAAACCCCTAAGCAAGCTGCGCTTGCAGAGGTCCTGGCCCTGGTACCCCTGGCTTACTTCGCCGGGCTCTGGCATGGCAGACGACCAAAGGTCGCCGAGGGCTATTTGGCCCTGGAGCCCTGAGGGCCGAAAACCGAATGCTCAGTTTGCATTCAAGGGGGTTTTGGGGTCTAGAGAGGTTTAGTAGGTGTATGTGAAAGTCTACTGTAGGGGTTCGCGACATGGAATTCAGATTTCGTCAGGCCTCAAACCCTCCACTCTTAACGGTCCAGGCTTGAGGCCTGCCAGATTTCTCACGCTTTGTGGGATGGCTGTGCTGAGGCCTCCTTCAACTCGAGATCTTTTGCATCGAAAGAATCGGTCCCCGTGGCTTACATATTGAGGGCCTGCATAAAGCAGCCCATCACAATCCGCAAAATCACAGACTTTCTGCACCCTAAACCCACCTGTAGCTGTAGTAGTAGTAGTAGTAGTAGTAGTAGTAGTAGTAGTAAGCGCCAGCAGGAGGAGGAGGCGCACCAGCAAAAGCAGCAGCAATAGTGCCAGCAGGAGGAGGAGGAGCACCAGCAGCAGGAGGACGAGGAGGAGGAGGAGGAGCAGAAGCAGATAGTGTGGTGGCTTTGGTTGCAGTGGTTGTCACTATCAGCTGCTGCCACAGTAATATCACTGCTTTTGTTGTTTTTTGCTCTTTCGGCGTCGAAGCGAGACCTCGGCCGGACAAATGATTTGTTCGATTTACAAATGCTACCTTCGGAGCTGGAAAAGAGACGACAAGCCATTCGCCAATCGCCGGGGGCCCCCAGATTGCAAGATGTCTTGGTGTTGTCCCAGCGCTTTCCGTGTGAACCCTGCCCTGAAGACTCCAGTAGATTCTGGTCGTGGCATCCCGGAAACGCAGAAACCCTCAGCGGTCCTCCACTGTGAAAGCACCTCCGACCCCGAACCCAGGATCAAAAGGCGGCCCGCAGCTCTAGGCCCTGAGCCGCATAAATGTCTATAAACCTACCAACTTAGCAGTTGGAAGAAGGGCTCGTGTACAAAAACAGCAAGACTGTAAACCCTGAACCTTCTGACACGTAGGAATGTGATCGGGTTGATGATCATCGTCACCTTCGGGTCTTCTCTGGACATCGTCGCTATCCAAGCCGAGATGGCTGGGCAGAAGATCGTGAAGTGGATGCAGAAAGTTCATTACTCCAGGGTGCAGGGTGTTGTGCTTTAGTTTTGCAGGTTCGGGGTTTTGGGACTTCGGAAGTCAAAGGGCCTGAAGCTCGACCGAACCAGGACCGGGTCTGGATCGACTTTGCGCGGAAAAGGTCTCGCCATGGGTGGTTGGTGACTATCGTGCGTATTTTCGACTCAATATTCGCAAGACCCTTCTCCGGTGCTGCGTGGGGCGTGGGGTTACAGATTCGATGGAGTGCAAAGGGGCATAGAGATGAACGTGAGTGAAACAAGCAGCTGTGGAGATAAGGACTACGATGCCGAGCCGCTCGGACTGCCCGAGTTCGTCTCATGACAATTTTTTGGGGGATCCGAGACGATGGGTGGCGCTGTTGCAGTCGAGGCACCAGAAAGCCCGAAAGTCCTGTTTCCTGCTCAGCCCGAAACCTGAAACCACAAGCAGCTAAATGTCTCGGTTCCAAGTCCCCAGTCTTTATGCAGATGAGGCTTGTGACTATTGGTGTTGGCAACTTGGTCAGTGGCCACCCGGCAGCTGACTTTCAGGGTTTGGGCTTAGTTGGGGTAGAGTTGAAATATGCAGACGGCTTAGTTCGGTAGGATCGAAGCGTGCGGATTGTGCGGCCTGCTGTTGTAAGACCCAAACGGGGGTTGTAGACGAGCGCATACAAAGTGAGTTGCAGGTTTTGGTGCTAGGAACGTATCTGCGCTCCAGGGGTTCCCATTGATCTCGAAAAATCGCTGCCGGCAGGTATCGGCAGGTGATTCAAAGCCTAAGTGTTGTTCTAGAATCCTCCATGCACAACGCCTGCACAGCAGGATGTGAAGGCACAACTGCTTCACAGTATTTAGAGTCAAGTTGATATTGCAGTCCGTGGATCCAATATACCCCTATTGCACCATGAAAGAGTGAAGTGCAGCATACTATGACATTATCCTAGTTCTGAGCGGAGGCATCTTCGGCGGCGCGACTGGCTCCTACATCTTTTCTCAGACTCTGGGCCTGTGTGTTCCACTGCGTGAGCAGGCAAGTCCAGCCAATTGTCCCAAGTAAGCTCGCCTGCTTTTCAAGTCGTGTACCGCACGGGGCTGACAGGCTTTGGAAAGATTCAGTGTTGTGATGTATCGACGGTTTCAGATGCAGAACCCCACACGTTGTCAGTGTTGCCCAGCTCAGTCAGTTTCAATAATTTCGACAGGCGCTGGTAACATTGAAACCGGGGGCCAACAGCACCACCGTCATAACCTTAGATCCTCGCGACTGAGGACAATCTTTAGTGCCAAGAGGCGAGTCCAAAGCAGACTGAACGGCTCCTGGGCCTAAGTTAGAGGTGAGAATGCTTGGATTTCCGGCAGTGAGGGTTCGGTTCCTTCAAGCGGGGCCACGGTTAGCGCGATGCACGTTGGAGAGTGGTGCCCTTTCGAGTTGTTGTGGCTGGCTGTGAGGCCTAATTGTGGCAGTCGGCAGCTTGGCTTTATGTGGGGCCATAGCCGCTTCTACGTGCTCTCACGATGCATTGCATGCCCTGCTTGCAGCAGTCCCAGTGTAGATTCCCTGGCCGAGAAGGGTTCGCAAAATAAATAGTTGAGCAAGCGGAGCTAAAGCATGCTAAAGCTGCGAGCTTCTATGGTGAAGGTTAGACTTCCATGAAGACATGTATGCGTTGCTGGACAACGCGCCCTGTTGACTGTTTCTTGTTGCACGACTTAGAGCAGGTGTATTTAAGCTTTTGACTGCACATGCGGCAACCTTGTCCTTCGGTGAACCACAGAAGATGCTGGCACTTGTTGGAGGCCGTCCTAAGTCCTGTCCGAAATTGAAAGCGTTTATGCCCAGCTGCGTGTTGGGGTGGAACTGCGCAGTGCTCGACCGCAATGCGAGAATCTTAGGCGTCAGGTGTGTCTCTGGTAACGGTTCGGTCATGGCCGACGGCTCGAGCTTCCCAACTCTTCGAAAGCGTCTGCAGGGGCTGGGGGGAATGTGAGCGCTTCGCTGGCCGTGCCGGCGGTCTGGCGGCCCTTGCGGCCTTGCGGCTATGGATGTGTCGTTTCATCGAACTGCCGGCAGCTCCAGGTGGCGACCTGCTGCGAACAGGCTAAAGGAAAAAGGTCGTCGGACGGGCGGCAGGTGGCAGAGGAAGCTGCAAGACTTGGAGCAGCTCTCCGAGTCCAGACTTGCACCAAATGTTTTTGCTATTTCTGCTACGATCGCCGAGTGCGGAAAGAGTGCTCAGTGGAGGATATCGCTGCACTTGCTCTCCGACATGCCAGCTGCCCGGGTCGAACCGAATGTCATCAGCTTCAATTCGACCATCGATGCTTGTTCAAGGGCTGGTGAATGGGTGACATCTCTTGGGATCCTCGCAGATATGTCGTCTGCCACCACTATGCCAGACGTGATCAGTTTCACTTCCGCCATCACTGCATGTGCCGAATCGGGCTGTTGGCAAGTGGCCCTGCAGATTTTAGAGGACTTCCCGCGGGCGGCCGTGCTCCCCAACACTATCAGCTTCAACGCAGCCATCAACGTCTGTGAGAAGGCCGGAGAGTGGGAAAGAGCCCTCCAGCTGCTGTGTAAAATTCCGACGGCCAAGCAGGTCCCCAGTGTCATCAGCTTCTTGCCCGTCCTTAACATGGCATTGCTGAGCCTCAGGGGTGTGTTAGTTGCAGGTTGGAGTTGAGAAGTTGCGCTGGTATCCATTCTCAGCGCAGACACTTGCTGCAACCGAGGCTTTAATGCAGCAATCAGTGCCTGCGAGAAAGCTGCACAGTGGCAGATGGCCTTATGCCTTCTCGACCACCTTTCCGAAAGCCAGTGTGTCCCCAGCGATGTGAGCTATGGGGCAGCTATCAGCTCATGTGCTCGAGGTGGTCAATGGACCATGGCACTCTGGCTACTCTCGCACATGCAATCCGTGCCGTCAGAAGGGACAGCTCCGAATGTGGTTTGCTTCAGTGCCGCCATTTCAGCTTGCCAAAACTGCGCACAGTGGCAGATGGCTCTGTGCCTTCTCGATACGATGGTTGCAAGGGCCACGGAGCCAAACGAGATCACGCTGAACTCTGTGATGAGCTCCTGTGAGAAAGCCGGGCAGTGGCAAGTCGCGCTGCACGTGCTAGGTCGCATCTTTCGATCTTTCCAGCTTAAGCCGACAGAAGTCAGCTTCGGTACCGCCATCAGCGCCTGTGCGTCGGGAGCTCAGTGGGCCACGGCACTGCTCTTACTTGCGCGCGCACCTGCGGTGCAGATACGGCCCGAGACCATCACTTGCAATGCCGCCATCAGCGCCTGCGAGAAGAGCGGGCTTTGGCAGATGGCTCTCAGCCTAATGGCTTCATTGCCTTCTCGAAGTCTTGCTCCGAACGTGGTCACTTGCAGCGCCATGATCAGTGCTTGCGAGAAAGGCGGTGAGTGGCAGGTGGCTTTGCACATTCTTGGGGAAATGCGTGACCTCATGGTGCAGCCAAACATGATTACCCTCAACTCGGTGGTGAGTGCCTGTGGAAAAGCCGGAGAGTGGCAGATGGCCCTTCGACTGCTTCACACGCTGCATGCTGATGGCCTGACACCTGATCTAATCACTTACAGCGCGGCAATCAGTGCGTGTGAGGAAGGCAGGCAATGGCCTTTTGCATTGGAGTTGTTGTCGGGCATGCCTGCTAGTAGCCTCGTTCCCGACATCTTCTGCTTCAGCGGCACGATCAGTGCATGCGAGAAAGGCAGCCAATGGCAAGCCGCCGTTCAGCTTCTCTCAAGCATGCCTGTGCTCCATCTCCCTGCAGACATGTTCAGTTTCAGTGCTGCCATAAGCGCCTGCAACTCTGGTCAACATTGGCAAGTAGCGCTCCAATTGATGTCAGACATGCCAGCCCGGAGACTGACACCGGATGCTCGCAACCTTGACATCGTAGTCAGTGCATGCGAAAGAGCAGGGCAGTACTGCCCAACGGCCCTGCAGCTCCTTGCAGACGTCCCAAGGACGGCAATTTCACCGCTGCAGACCCTCGGGCTTAGGGAATAGTTCATTTCCAAACTCAACTAGAGCGGCCGTCCTGTTGAACAGAACGTGCAGTAGTGTAGAGGTGCAGTGCAAGTCTTCGTCGCACTCAGTGGAGTAGTACTCCAGCACGCCAGCATCGATCGTGCCAATCAGTCGCACTTGCTGGCCTCGCACTCTGCAAAGGTTACCCATGAGAAGCTTCTAGCTAGCAGCCGCAAGATACGCAGGCATGGCAAGGGCATTGTTCAAGCCTCATACCCCCACCAACATGCCTGGTGTTTGCAAGGCCGTCAGCAGATGAACATGACAGCACACGTTGTGGGGATATCTTAAACTCAGGCTGCCGATTGAGGTAGGCAAGACTTGGAAAAGTTCGCCCATGCAGCTTTCAACCTTACTAAGCAGAGACCGGAACCGGAGCGGTTCGAGCCGAGATTTAGACACAACTTGCAGCCTAGGGGAGCTCGCGCTTTTCGTGGTGCCTTTGGACATCCTCCAGGTCCTGCCAAACGCCTACATAGGCCTCGGCGGGCTTTGGGTTGAGAGTCCGGACACGGCTTCGGATAGAGATTGGATTTTAGATTCCGATCTGGGTTTCCATAAGCATATTATCAGACAAGAGGTTCTCGAAAGCATCGTGTCTTTGGCGCCCTCGCAACTCAGATCGTAATACAGGGCTTGCAGAAGTTCTTCTGTGCCTCTCAGCAGGTGGCATCATGTGCCTCTTCGGAGTGGACATCATGACTGATGCTGGGCACAAATGTCCGGGCTCCGTACAAGTGAACAGCAGTCTAGCGTTGGCACAGGACTTCATCCACGTGACCATGACACCTCTGTAGGAACGTAAGAACCCGGGGGAGGGAAAGGGCGGGAGAGGGAGGTCTCGACAGCCACGGATAGAACCTGCCTGGTAGCGACGATCCGGAAAGGGCATGAAGGGGCCACGAGACGAAGCGCTATGCGAGGCACAAGTGAGGTGCTGTGCATGCTTGGGTAAATCAATAGCCAATACAGTCTCAAACTCAAACACTTTTTGGGATGATATTCGACGAATGACTCGCACAAGACGGCAGCCACACCCGAGCTGAACTCCTCAGGACTGGCTTATCAAGTCAAGGCACTTGATGTCGACTTTGGAGTACGTGCTCGCAGCCTGGCATGTTATAATGAGAGCCGAGCCACGTGGAATGGCATCGCAAGTATACTGGAAACCACGCCCCGGCTCCGAGCCTCAGTTTAGAAAACTGAGGTTTGGATCTCTTTCTGCACGACCATGCTGCTGGCTGGTTCTCACGTTTTCGGCGTAATCGAGCCTGCGCTGCAGAAGCACAGCACTTATATGCAATTCGCCAGAGTTGCTCAAGTGCTGGTTGTCCCACTTGCGGCGAACGGTGCTGAAGACAACAGCAGGCCAAAGGGCGCTGGACTTTAGATCTATGTACCCATGCTGAAGCACGGTCCAGCCGCTAAGGAAGGCATGTTCGTTGGCACGGTGGTGGCATTGGCTTTCTTCGCCTTCCAGTTCTCCTGGCGGCAGGGGTCGAGTTCCGTGTGTCATCAGTCGCAGTCTCAATTAGTTTGTCGAGCGGAACTGCCGAAGTCCACATATCCTTCCTGGGAGTTTCGTCATATCTTATGGTTCGGCCCCTGGGCTGTGATCTCGATGAGCTTGGGCTCAGAACTGCCCAGGTTCGCCAACGTGCAAGACAAGTTCCACATCGTTTCATCGCGCTGCCCGGAGCTGTTGAAAGTGGTCAGATCTCTGTAGGGAGCAGGGCTTGTTACAAACTCCGTTGTAGAGAGGCATTGGGCTGGCGAGCTAGAAGGCTGGAGCTGCTACCCATATTATGAACGTAGTTCAACAATAAGTATATGATTGAGTATATGATGTGTGATATTTAATAGGCATGTAATATACAGGTAGTATACAGTATGTTTTGTTGTATATACTAATTAATATATTATATAGAAAATGCAATATCTGTCTTGAAGACTGCGAGGCGCCGCGGGTAGGACCCCAAGCTGTGTGGAGCCCTCTCCGCACAGGCTCTTCTGTCATCCGGCCGCCCAAGCAGCGCCGGCACCTGAACCGGGAGCACCGCGGCGGGTTTGTGTTCAAGTCAAGGCTTGCTCGTACTGTAGCCAGACTTGTGATGCACATGTACCGTGTTTTGGTTGGCAGCCGAAGCGGTCACTTCCTACAGCTAGCAAGGGCCATTGCCTTAAAGCTACAGCTGCCAAGAGCGTCCTAAGATTGAGAAGTGGAGCCGTGCGTGTCGCAGAACAGCAGTCCCAGCTTTTCATGAACACCCCAAGAGGCTCCAACATTTCAGCCGAAGACAGGGCATTTGTGGGTGTGCACTCGAGCTCTGATCAGCAAGCCACAGGTACAACTCGATTCTTGCCACCGGGCTGCACATGTCATCATACAGACGCAACAAGGCTACGTGCTCAAAGGTAGCTCATGGGCTCATGGGCTTCCCGAAAACATCAGGCCCGAAGTTCGCGTCGGTGTGCAAAGACGCAGGTGTTCGGCCTGCCTTGACAAGACGAGCACATGGGAGCAGTCCAGCGTGACAAGTCTCAGAAAGTTTCAGAACCTTGAAGCCCAGAGAGTGCTTGCAGTATCGCTTCCATATCTCGAAGCCGAGGCCGTCAGCAAGGGCCCTGGCTGAAATTTGACTATGGGCTGCTGCTCAGAGTCGCTAAGTATGCTTGCAGTGTCCTGCAGTGCAACCTGGTCTGTGATCGCACAGCAAAACGGTACATCAATGTAAACAGATGTGCCGAGTTGAGATGGCCATGGATGCTTGAAGAGCTTCTTGAGCAGGGTGCTGGCACTGGCACTGGCACAAAGGCTGAGAGAACGAACATCATGCCGGAATATTTACACCGAGCCCTCTTGCTGACTGCGCACTCCCGCCGCAGAAGCGACAGCTGTGCCGGCCTGGTTGCAAAGGTCTGAACAGTTTCTCGTTCTTCGGCGCGGCATTTTCTGCCGCCTGACTGCTTGGTGGCAGGGGATAGTGCAACTCGCTGAGCCCCACACAACAAACCTGAGGCCTATCGGTCCTTCTTAAAGGCTCCGTTTGGTCTTCGGGCTTCACTGCTTGGAAGCAGGCTGTAGCGCAGCTTGATCTGAAAGGACTCAGCATGTGCACTTGACATACACCTTCAGGGGTCATCAGAGTGGATTCTGTGTGAGAAGCATGGGCAGCTGTCATGTTAAGGCTGCTAAGCTTAAGGGAGATGGCATGGCTGCAGTCCGGCTGGAGATTGAGACAAGGCCATGCAGCAGATCGAGAAGGAAGCAGAGGAACGCAAAGTGCCCGTGCTAAAATCAAAAGCATTCTTTGGAGGTTTGATTGTCGACCGGCCCTCGATTGCTGGAGTAGGAGATGACCTGCAGACTGCTTGCTGCCAGAGTCATGCCAGAGCCTGCTAGAATGGGGTCATCGGAAAGAAGGGCCTGTGACATCCGGCTTCAGCCCGCGGCACGACAACCTCTCACCTGTGCTGTTCAGATGTTCACCTTGAATCCGTTGGCTCAGGCGCGCTTCGTTTGCATGGATCTCGGACCGCCCGCCTCTGCATGCCTCCGGTCAGAGGTTGCACCCGTAGTTCACAATTCTTCAGCAAGACACTGGCAGGACGTGTGAGTGGTATGGACTGTACATCTGCAGACCAGATCAGGCCGGGCCGGTTTTGGACTTGACAACAAATGTCTCACGAGTCATAGTTGGAGATGGTTTTCAACATCTGCGCAGTCATAGTGATCCTGCCTTAACAGCAATCGTCGTCGCCGTAGTGGCAGTGGCAAGGGTGCTGGTGTTAGCAGGTAGTGGTAGGAGTGGTGGTAGTACATTCTGCTACCACCACCACCCACCCACCACCACCACCACCACCACCACCACCTGTTTGTATGGCTACTCTTTTTCAGATTTGCGGTTCTGCTTCATTGGTGTTCCCGGTCTCGGATAGTTGCTTTTGCTTTCGGGGTCGGGGTTCGTGGTTGCGTCCACTTTGGCAATGCAGGCCCGGCAGTGGAGTTTTCCCTCTTCGGGGATGCAGTTTTTCCCCGAGCCCGTGAGACGGACTCCACACAATCCTTCTGGTTCAGGTTCGAGGGTTATGCCTGTTGGTCTGATTTTCAGTGCAATTCGAGACGGCTTGAAAGCTTCAGAAGCATAAGCTGCGCAGTAGAGCTCACTGTTTGAAGTTCCCACAAACTAAAGAGCCAAGCCCTGATGCCCGGCAGAAGCCCGTTTCAAAAAGAAGCAAGTTTCCCAAGCTGTCCCAAGCTTGACGCACGATAGTCCAAACTTATTTTTGGACATATCTAGGCCTGATGGGCTCTAGAGCTTGCCGTTTACAGCCTAAGCATCCGGTACCCTACATTGCAACGAGACCAGGCTCTCAAGCATCAAGCTTCTCCACATCTAAGCGGTGTCAGGCTACTGGTGCTTTCGCTAGAGAATCGCCTCGGCATCTTTGCTGGAGATGGCTTCGTTTCCAGGGTTCTGTCATTGCTGTTGTTGTTGTTGTTGTGGCTGCCGCAGTTGCCGTGAACATGGCCATGTTAAGTTGATCATGATGTTGTTGATGCTGATTGTCAGACTTGTGTCATGGCCATGATGGTGATGGTGGAGATGCCGGTGACGGTGTTGCTGATTATGATTATGATGATCTGGATAAAGATAACTGCCGACAACTATTATTGCTGTTCCTTTGCTGTTGTAGTCGTTCCTCCTCGTCCTCTTCCTCCGCCTCCTCTTACTCTTACTCTTGCTCGTACTCTTACTCTTAATCTTACTCCTCCTGCTGCTGCTGCTGCTGCTGCTGCTACTGTTACATTCTACTCCTCTCCTGCCCTTGCGATTCGTCCTACTGCTTGCAACTACTGTTCATGCAACCACCTGCAGGAGCAGGGGTGCAGTCGCAGCACGAAATGCTTGCTGCTGCTTATGATGTTGCTGATGACTGCGAGTGGTGAGATCACTGGATGTGACTAGCAGTCACCAGCAGGCAGCTGCCGTTCCCAATGTTGCTGCTGCTGTAATGAACTGTATTCTGACTGCGGGCGTGATGACGGCGGTCGTGGTGATGAGCAGAAGCATGAGCATGTTCATGCGAGCGACAACCATAATCTTGTTTGTGCTGATGATTTCGACGATCACAATAACGAGGGCAGCTGAGACGACGATGTTGACGAGCAGGAGGACGAAGAGGAGGAGGAGGAGGAGGGGACGATGTTGCGGTTGATGATGACCATCATGATTTCAACGGTGGTGATGATGTTGAGCATGATGATGACGACGATGATTATGATCATGGCGAGGGCGGTGGTTGCTGTTATCCTTCTTTCGATCTTGCAGGACGTCTAGGCTTGAAGGGTTTCGAACTTGCATGCAATTGTCACACTGCCTCCTGAGTAAACCCTAAATCCCTAAATCCTTAATTCAACTCGTGAGTTGCAACTCGGGGTGTGCCAAGGCGCCCGCGTGTTCCTGTCGTCTATGCGCTCGCCAAACGTCCAGCGTCTGCTCGAGGCTGGGTGGGTTTGCCAACTTCTGTTTAAGGCTCACGGTGCTTTGCAGGGGTTCTCATGACGGGAGGATTGACAAGTCATTTGGCTTTGAGAGCTTGCTTCGAAGGGTTGGGTAGGGGTTGACTACCAGAACAGGACGTACGGCATGAGAGTCCAGGACTCGCCGCGCCATCAGAAGAGGATAGAAAAGGTATGAAAAGGTTATCTGACAAGCAAAGCGGAAGCGTGCTTGTTCCCCTCTCCCGCGCATCCTCAGGCGCACGGTGTAGCTGACAGCGACAGTGGACGGCCGATCTTTCCCACCCTAGACCAGGCAGGACTACTACAAGAAAGAGTGTATTGAGTCCACCAGGCACCATCTTCCGGAGAGCCCTCCCTGTCAGCGTGGGAATGTCTCATGTGATACAGGATTCGGGAAGGCACCTTGATCTCGGCCAGCAACTCCCAATGGTGCTCCCGTTTGGGACTTAGCCAGGACCTTAGGACTTGAGCTGTTCGGGGTTTGGTTCGGGTTCTCATTCCAGGGTCCAAAATTGTTAAACCGAAAGCCCTGCTATGGGACCTGTAAGCCTGAATTACTGAACCGTAAACCGATGCCATTTTTGATCGCAGGCCCTGCAGCGATGTGAGGAAGTCATCCTCGGCCAAGACTACCAGGCAGGTCGCTGTGCATGATAGCATATGGTAGCATATTATAATATATGTTGGTATGGTAGTATGGACACCTTGCCATTACGGTACATGATAGTATGTTGAAGTGTCGCATATTATGATATAAGAGAACATATTCTGGCATATTGTAGCTCTTATAGTATTCTTGTCATGTGTAGCATACGTACCTTCGTGCCTTGGGCGGTTGTAGGCTAGAAGTATTCATACAGTTTAGCTATTCTTAATCATCCTCAGGCTTCTGCTGATTCCAAGCAGCCGGCGTAAAATTCCAGGGCCCCAGAAAGCCTTAGTAAGCCTTGGGGTTTGGAAGTTTTTTTGTGAGCCCTAATCCCTAAGCCAGAACCTGGGTAAGGCTCTGAGAAAAACAAAACAACATAAGCTTAAGCCCTAACCCCTAACCCTAAGCCCTAAACCGACGAGTTCCTCTCCCAAAACCCCGAGTCCCCAACGAAGCGAGGCAGGAAAGCTCCCCGAGAGCGAGCGAAGTCTGGAGGAGTTGCCGCCTGTCCTTTAAGTTTGCTTGAAATCACTATATAATTGTATAGTATGCTATAGTATTCCGAAGTATTTCGTAGTATATTACAGCATTGTCTGGCATATTATGGTGTATCATCGTCTCTTATGCTATACCACAGTATGTTACAGTCTCTGCTTGTACGGGCAGATCTCCGGACAGATCCCCACTGCGGTGTTCACGGCTGGTTTCGACTGCGGGCTTGAGAGAAACATGTCAGGATTTTCAAGCTGCTGCCCTTAATTACTGCTTTCTGTTCTGCGCCGTCTACTCACAGCTTAACTTGAGACTTGATTTGATCGCTTGGCCTTCGTCTATGGGGCAGGCCGAAGCAGTAAACCGTTCTGGGCATCCCAGTTTCCTGAACTCACGTCAGTGGCTCCAAAAGACATCAGAAACGCAAACTTGCGGCATCGGCCCAAACATGATGGCCCCAGCTGTTGAGTTGAAATTCTTGAAGATGCAGACTGACCCAAGCATGGGCATAACGCCTACGCCACAATCCTGCCAAACCCTGTCGAGTCACGAAAAGCCCTTAAACATGCTGAAAGACATCGAAAGACCCAAAGCTGTGTCAAGCCTAAACTCGGCCTAGACTCCTAAGATCTCAAAACCCGAAACCCATTCTACACCCTAGGTCCCTGAGCCTCAAATTAGTTAGACCAAAAGCTGCAAGGCCTAAGCCCTAAAGCCTTAACTGCAAGGCTCTTGGACTATGTGGAGGGCTTCGGCCGCAGCGCCGCCTCCCAACAGGCCCGCCGAGATTCCTCCTCATCGCTATCGTAATCCCTATCACAGCAACACGATTCTAATGGATCATCACAACCCACCATCACCATCCATCACCCTAAAGGCCCTAAGCTGATCTATGCCCGAGCTCAACCCCTGACTTTCTCAACGAATCCGCGTAAGGCCGAGGCTGCGACCGCCACGCGCCTGGCCTCGAGTTTTCTGCGGCGGGAGCTGCAACCGCGGCAGCCGCGTGGTGGCAGAGGTTTTGCAATGTTTTTCGAACGTGGGCCACTTTGGAGATGCATGCAGACGTTTGGGCTCCGGGTCCAGCAGGTCGAGGCAGAAACAATCTCAGGAAGAACAGCTCCGATGTGTGGTAGAAGTCGTTAACCGATTAACCGTCAACATTCACGTAACGAAAAAGCGTGAAGAATCCGATCTTCGCTTGATCAAACGTTGGCCGAGCTCTTCCGGCAAGCCAAAAGCATGCCTTCGCCTCCGCGCCTGCACACCTCTTTCCGTAAAGCACTTCAAGGGCTCTATATCAATTGGACCTGGTTACGAGACAATGTGGATGTTTGTTTATGTACACGGCACCTGTCCGTTGAATTGCTACAACGTTTGTGACACGTGATCGGTCAGAAGTCCAAGAGATTTGTCGAGCTCTGGTGTTTAGCCAACCCTCAACCCTAAACCGTGCCAATCCCCGCAACTGAGGATTCTCTTCAGAGCCGACGATGCCGCAGACTCCATCTTCGTGGTCGCCCGGGGATCTTTGCGCACTTGCACGAATCGCGAATGGGCCGGGGCCTGACAGACTTCACGCCTTGAGATTCAGGAGCCAGGTGTCTCTTCAGAACTGGAGCCATGTCTCGTGCAAAGTAAGGCGTGGCCGCAAATCATGACATGCAAGAGCTTGTAGGAAGCCGGATACCGCTTACAGCAGCCTACTAGATCAAAATGACAATGAGATCTAGAGCGACACGAACACATACTGCTACTGAAAAGTTATAAGTCCATCTGTGTTCTGTACATATGCAGGAGTATGTATATGTATGTGTTCGTACTCGTACTTAGGCAAATAGATCAGATCAGACTGGATGAGACGGGATAGATAAATGGATAGGTAAGTCGGTGGATAGATGGATACGTAGGTAGACATGTAGCTAGACAGGTACAGGTGTAGGTGGGTATTAATGGGTTGATAGTTGGATAGATCGATCGATAGATAGACAGATAGATAGATAGGCAGAGAGATTGGTAGTTAGGTAGGTAGGTAGGCAGGAAGGTGAGTGGGTGGGTGGGTCGGTAGGCAGGCAGGCAGGCAGGCAGGTAAGCAGGCAGGCAGGTAGGTAGGCAGGTAGGTAGATTAACAGACAGATAGATCCATCGATAGATCGCTAGATCGATAGATAGATGTGTAGGTGTGTTGTTGTTTGTATGCCCCCATACTGGTTTACTGGTATGTATGCTTTGACGATTGAGAATATTCATACTCGAGTATATAGTGACAAAGATGAACCTACACTGGCATAAAGATCCTGGTTTCAAGCGATCTGTAGGACACAAGAAGATACCAGAGCCTGTGATCATCCCGCAAGAGGGAGGGAAATGGACGTTGGTCTAGAGCCGTAGCGAACGTTCGGAACCCAGCACGAGAAAACCATTTTCCGTCCTCGCCCAGCCCGGCTTCGGCTGTTGCTTTGCGCTTGCCGACTCAGGAGTCTGTACATGTCCGACTTGAGTCGCAGTTGCTTGCTGCGCCGAGGTTGGCCGCTTAGGTGATGCGACGGCGCTGCTGGCCTCTCCGCCGACGCTTCCAATAGGCGGGATGTTTCATCCTTGGGGAGTGTTTTGACGAGGCACGGATCAAGGAGGTTGGCAATGGACCCGTAAGAGCCTTGCGCCAGCTCTCCACCGGGTCAGCGAAGTTCCTGCCGTGGCACGTCGCGGCAACTACTCACAAGGGCTAAGGTATCTCCGGCAAGACATACTGCCGGCACACCGCCGAACGTGCGCCACAATTTTGCCATTGTCAGCCTCCGCACGTGGAGGGCTTCGCTGAGCTGGTGCATCTCCCGTTCTCTTTTTGAATGCATATGTGCACATATAAAGTCACTATTACCCCACCGTCACCATAATGTCTGATATATACGACACGCAAACAACACGCACACACAGGCAGAAAGACAGACGCACACACCCCCGCACACATACACACACGTGTATGCGTCTATATATATATATACACACACAGAGAGACATGTACTCAGTCCTATCTTGCTGTTGGCTGTCGCCTGAACTGCAGGCGCGGACTCGTGACCGGGCAGAAAAGCTATTGACTCGCTGTGGTTAGCAAGGGTCTAGCCTTTCAGTTAACACGGTAAGGCTGCAGCTTCCGGCTTGGAAGGCACATGCTAACAAATGTTGAAAGTTTTCATACACTTTCAGCTCCATGCAGCCGCCTTAGAGCACCGGGCGGTACTTCTGAACTGGATTGTCGGTAAAGCTCCGTGGGATCTCAAGCTTCAAAGTTGTAGGCAATGCAATCGCAGCCAGCATGTCCACAGCTTTGTCAGTCTGAACAAATTTCAGAGCTGGCGCAGAGGCAGTAAATAGGTTTAGAGGTTTCTTCTGCTAAGCCATGCCTGCTGCAGGAAAAGACTCAAGCTTCAAAGCTTGATAGCTACCAGCACCATGCCCCGATGGCTCGATGTGCGAAGCGATCAGGAACACATCCCAAAGCTAAGAGCAAAGTTCACAGCCTCCAAGCCGAGAGGCTGCACGACCCCCAGTCAAATGCAATATTATGTTAGATTAGCTAAAATTATATTATATTGACCATAGTACACCATATTGCACTATATTAGTCTACTATATCATATTATACTGTACTAGATTATAAGTGAGGTGGGTACGAAGTGAGACGCCACCTATTGCCGACTTCGATGACTTCGACGGCGAGCTCCGCGCTCAGAGCTGGCTGCAGTTCGGTGCCCAGGTCCTTGGTAAACATAGTCATGAAACTAATGACAACAACAATCACCAAAAATACTCATAGAATAATTGTAATATTAAAATAGACTGTATTGTACGAATGGCCATAATAAGGAGAATGGCAATAAGAATGTTAGTACTAGGAATAGTAATAATCATCATGATCAAAATCGTAATTACAATCAGTATCATAATGTGTATAATGATGTCATCATCATCATCATCATCATCAGCATCATCATCATAAAGGCAAGCAGAAAAGGAATTAGGGTTAGGGTTAGTTCTGTTTGTTTAGGACTTGCTGATCAGCACTGGAAGCTGCTTGAAGGATTCAGAGAGCTCTCCTCAGCTGTATCATCGTGTGGTAGCAGGAGCGGCAGCTTCGATGACGGGCTTCTTGTACCTATGTTTACCTGCTCTACTGAATTACACATATTGTTGTCGCCTTGGTTTGAAAAGGTGATCTCGTCTGCTGTGCTAAATCGTCTGGTTGTCCATAAAGTAGGGAGTTGCTTTGCCCTCACTCGCATGGTGTTCCTAGAGTACGGGCTTCACCACAAACCTCGGTTACCTTACATCGAGGTGCTGACAGCAATTACAAGATTGATTACAATTGAGTTCATCATCGTCAGTGATACCATCACATGTTCAGATGGAATCATCATCATCGCTAAAGCCGTCGTTCTCCTGAGCTCCATCTTCATTGTCACGATTTCTCTTCTGCAGATCACCATCAGGGCCATCATTGCCGCCATCGCCATCTTCATACAGGGCAGCATTGAAGAGTCTGCTTGCAGGCATGAGCTCGTCGGTGTGGGGTCTATTTTGAACGACACGGCCTTCTATGCGCGGAGGAAGTGCGGGGTCAATGCAGCCGCCCAGGCTGGGCTGTCGTTCTAAGGGTTCCTACAAGAGCTCATCAAGAAACTTTGATTGCAACCGTAATGGGAGCATCAAAGAGGCAACGTCATAGTCGTGGTAGCAGGAATAGTAGCAGTGAGCAGTGATGCTCACCCTAGTATCACATCATGTCACGTCGGCATGCATGACTATCTTTCAGCTGCTGCACATCTTTCACATCAGTGACTATTCATATGTACTGAATCAGTCGATGCCCCGGCAGAGGGAGTTCAGACGGAGCTCGGTGCTAGGCTTACTACCTGGTATGCAGTAGCTGTCGGTCTGCAAGATCGCAAGATGTGCTACTATTGCCTGTTCGTAGAGTCCTTACTAAGACAACTATGAGGTACGAAAAACTCACAATAACGACAGTCGGTCCAACAATAGCAAAGGCAACAAGAGTAGCGATACTGATAGTATCAATTCAAGTCTTGTTGTGCACGTACGTATCATGATTTACACACTGCAGCTAGTCTTTGTTTCTCCCAGTCCTACAGATCCTCAGGAAAGTGGCTGCGCTGTCTACCAGATTTCCCGTTCCGTGGTAGAGCACCCTGGCTGCATAGGAAAGCTCCGAGAAGTTCACTGTGAGAAGAAAGAGAACGACAATCTTGGTTCGATAGAATTATCTAAAAGTGACAGTGAACGGGACTCAATCCAAGCGGTTTATGTTGGTCTGACAAAACTGACTCGCACGTTCGCCAAACCCTGCTTGTGGTCAGGCTTTTCGGATTGTAGAGGCTCGAAACGTACAGATCATCCACCCTGGGCTCATAAATCCGCATCGTGTCATTTTACAGCTCCTTCATGTCGCTGTGGTGCCTTCTTGTGCTGGAGCTGAGGCTTAATTGTGTTGTCATTTGAGGACCTGAACTGGATGACCCGCATGGTGTATGTTAACATTATCCAAGGCCTTGGGAGCAGCTAGGGTTTCCACAGCAATCAGGTATTCATGCAAGCATGTTCCGATACTCCACACATCGATTTTAGCATGCATCCCACGGAACTTCCTGGCGAGCCACAAATCAATGGATCAGATTTTCACTCGCCACAAAGTCGACGCCGCCCGAAACTGTCAACTGTGTGATCCTGAGCATGCGTGACTTGTGTTTGCGGTTCAGACTGGAGAATCATGCCACTCCGCTGCAAAGGCAAGGGTCAAGGTGGCCACCACGCCCCGAAAGTGATCGGAGGCCGAAACTTTCTGAATCCTAAAACCTCGGTGCACCCAGTATTTCATCAGCCATCTCACGCTAGCTTGCGGCCTTCCAGAGCCTAAGGAAGCTGGAACTTCAAGATCCTGCTGCTGCCGTGCTGCTTCAGAAGGCACTGAAATCAAGGAAGGCTTGCTAGGCTGTAGGTTTTCTGAGGAGACAGTTTCTCGAGTCGGGTGAAAGTGGGTACTTGCAGGTTGATGGCACGTCTCGCTTTGTCTGCTCGGAGCTCCAAGTGGCAGGTGCTACTTCGGGATCTCTCGCAGCTCATGGTCGCTCACCTGCAGCAGAGAGCTCCGCATCTCTTCCTCTTCTTCGGTTTTTTGTCTTCGAGGCGCTGTCTCGCATCCACAGCCGGTTCCTCTTATGTTTGCCATAAAGCTCCAGATTCGTAAATGAAAGCCTCTCTATGGGCGTTGAGCGCTCCAGCCTCGAGTCGGCAGATGCTCCTTCCGACAGCGCAGCTCCAGTTGTTGATTTAAGACCCTCGGTATATTCATGAAGTGACGCGTTTCCGATGCTCGTGCAGCATCCCAGTTGTTGCTCGCGATGCTCGCACAGCGTGTCAACTGATGCCAGCTGATGCTCTGCCTGTTGTGCAGCGTGTTTCCTTGCTTAAGAGGTCTGCCAGCTGATGCTCATGAGGCTCGCTCAGTTTGTCCTCGTTGGGTGAAAGCTTAGGTACTCAATGATCATGATGCTCGTCCAGTGGTATTTGTCCAAAATCTGTCGAGCGGGGTGGATCACTGCCTGTGTCTACGAGTGTTCATCAATGTGAATAAAAAGCAAACAGTCGCATAGATAGTCGAACACTGGCAGGCAGTTTTCAGAAAATTGTGAACGTTTAAGGGTTCGGAAGCCTATCGGCCAACATTCCAGGTGCAGTTCCTCTTCCCGTTGCAATCGGTTGCCGGATTGACTTGAGAGCACTTCCACCGTTGCGTGCCTCTTGCATGCATCGGCGCTCGAAGAAAAGACCTGATTCTGTGTCTGGGTTATTGCTTTGGTCTGCAAGCTGACCAGGAAAACTTCTAAAAGAAAGCAGTCTCAAATCGTCCTCTTAGTGTTGGGCAGACATGACAATGAGTGTTTGTCGGCTCTAGGACGGCGGAATGAGACCAGCGCCAATGGATGCTTCCCCGAATCTTCTACAGCCTGACTGGTGCCTGACGTGCACCTGCATGTGCTGTGATTGCCCAAGCATGTGCCCTTCGGCTCTCAGATGGACTTGAGCAGATTAGCATGCAGCTTTCACAGAGCTGCCCGCACAGCAAGAGCATAGAGCTGAGAGCAACTGGCGAAGTCGGGGGTGGCTCTTGAGTCTCAGCGCAACCAGAAACAGCCCAACGCTGCCTCAAAAGCCTTCGGAGAGCTGAAACTCTTTCCTTGAGCCTTTGAGTCCATCCTCAATCTTTACACCATCCACACACTTTGCACTTGACACCCGTACCTCAACACCCCAAACCTCAAACTAAACCCTGAACGCTATCCCCTAAACACGGAGCCTACACTCCCGCGGTCCGAAGTGGGGTGCCCGGCCTGGCTTCTGTTGGGGGGGATGAGGGCATTTCTTTGCGCATTTCCGGGTGGTTGGGGTGCAAGGAGGTAGTCGTAGTCGTAATCTTGGTCTTGCGATTGTCATCGTGTTGCCGATAATGCAGATTTCATCGGTCAACAACGAAGACACTGCCTGTCAAGTTGTGCTGCAGCGGGTGCGGTTTGACAAATTGACGCAATCAGAGCAGGTCATGTGTCGGTTCATGTTTTGACTGCAAAGCTTCTTGTGAACAGCGGGTCCATATGAAGGAATGCTACGATAATTCAAGCATTGTTTTTGAAGCCAGAAGCCGTCATGATGCTCTAGCCAACGTCGTGGCCCCCCCGAACCTTTCGATCACCATTGGCTTTAAGCTCCATACTCTGAACAGGTTGGGGACTTAGCGGTATGCTGTTGCCCGAAGCCGTAAGCGCAGTGGGATGTGAGTATGACGGTCAGGGGGCCGGGGGCTTGCCTGCAGACCCATCAGACCCAAAGCCGAAAGCTTTTTGGCTGTCGTCTGTAGTAACTAAATCTTGAATAATGAAGTTTAGTCCTATCCTAAACCGAACTGATAGTTTGGCTGGTTATGATGGTTTGCGATAGGGAAAAAGGCTTCTAAAAGACGGACGATTGATTGCTTTTTCATAAAGCGCCACTGCCACCGCCGCCACCACCACCACCACCACCACCACGGCCACCATACTACCGCTGCCACCACCACCCCCACGACTACTACGACAACTACGGAGACTGCTAATTATACTGTTACTACTGCTGCTGCTGCTACTACTACTACTACTACTACTACTCTTACTCCTACTCCTACTCCTACTCCTTCTCCTACTCCTACTCCTACTCCTACTCCTACTACTCCTACTACTGCTGCTGCTGCTGCTACTACACTCCCACTCCTACTCCTACTCCTACTCCTACTCCTACTGCTACTGCTGCTGCTGCTGCTGCTACTGCTGCTGCTGCTGCTACTACTACTACTACTGCAGGGGCTCAGGCTCCCTATCTGTGACAGCTGCAAAAGTTGCAGAGGCTCACCTGCCTTAACTGTCACAGCCGATGAAGTTGCAGAGGCTCAGGCCCCAAGACTGCGACAGCAGTTGGAGTTGCAAACTCGACAGGGAAGAAACTGATAAAGCACAGGCGGTCGGATAGGACGAAAACGCTGAAAATGCCTTGCGAAACGCAGGTTCTGCCAAGAAGGTTTTATAACACTCCTAAAACCCGAAGCGCAACATCTTATAAACATCAAAAACAAAGATGCCAGCTGCACGTGGGTGGAGCTCGCAAACACCTCTAAAGCCCAAACCTCGGCGCAGGAGGGTTTGCTTTTGAAGTGTGCGGTGTGTGTGCGCTAGGTACGGAGATATTGTTCGGGGTGTCCGCGAAACAGTGTCGTGACCATCCCCGAAAAAGCTTCCCCCCACCCAATTTCGATTTTTCGCCGAAATCCCAAATCCCAAAGTCGAGTTGGCAAAGTCCAGAAGTAGGCTTGGTGACTATATAAGAGGGTCCGACATGACGAAAGCACAAGTACACTAAATACCGAGTAAAACGGCTCTTGCGAAGATATTGTTCGGGTCGTAGCAGTAGTAGTAGTAGCAGCAGCAGCAGTAGTAGTAGAAGTAGAAGTACAAGTAGAAGTAGGCGCCCCCCCTACCAACTACCTCTGCTACAAACCCTCGAGACATCTGAACCGGAAACCTCAAACTCTAAACGATAAACCCTACTCGGAGGATAGTGGGACTTAGCAAGTATGCTAAGTATAGTTGCCTCAACACCTACAGCGCAAGTTAACTACTAGGTCCCATAATTTTTTACATACCCCTGAAACCACTTATAGTAACCCGTTTTGTAAACCTTAAAGGTACCCCTTTAAGGAACCCTTTCAAGGAACCCCAGCTCCCCGAGCCCTGAATGCACCGTTCAAAACATCTGGGGCTCTCTGCCTCGGTACTTGAGCCCCTAAACCCTAAACCCCAAAACCCCAAATCTACTAAACCCTAAACCCCTAAGACCCTAAAACCCTAAATCTACTAAACCCTAAATCCCCAAACCCTAAAGCCCCAAACCCTAAACCCCAAACCCGAAACCAACTTCGTGGGCCTTGGTACTTGAGCATCGTCAGCACGAGGAGGCGCCGTCTCTCTGGCGGCCTGGCTGAAGGCTGTGGCTTTGGGGTTCCCAGAGACTCCAAAACCCCTCAATTAAGGAATATACCTTTTTTGGGGGGT